TAATACTACTGGACCCGGAACTAACCCTCAAAGGCAGGTATTGGATCTCGCAGAATACCTGGCACAACACTTAAAAATAAGCAGAATCCTTGCACCAGAGCCTGGAGTATTTACAGGTGACCCGTTAAGGTATCAAAATTGGAAGACTGCACTTGAAACGCTCATTGAGCAACGAGGAATTCCCCCTGCGGAACAATTACACTACTTGAAGAGATATGTCGGCGGTCCTGCAAGGCAGGCCTTAGAAGGACATTTCTATTTGATGATGCCTTTGTTCAAGCAAAGACAATGCTGGGAAAAAGATACGGAGCCCCATTTGTTATAGGTAATGCATTCCGTAAATAAGCTTGATTCCTGGCCAATGATCGCATCTCGCGACGGATTCGCTCTGCGAGACCTGGCAGACTTTATGAGACAGTGTGTTGCTGCAACAGAAAACATTAGCCATCTTGGCGTTCTCAACGATGAACAAGAAAACCGGAAGGTATTGGCAAAACTACCAGAGTTGTTGATACTAGATGGGCGAGGAAGGTCGATGAACTAAAAAAAAACAAGGAAAATATTCGTTATTCAAGGAATTTGCAACATTTATCGAGAGGGGAGCAAATATTGAATGCGATCCAGCAACCTCATTACAAGCACTCAAAGCCCTAAACAAGACATCGCAACAAGAGAGACGTCCTAGAGTAAACACAATGGCTACATGAGTCATGGAACCTAGTGTTAAAAGCTGCAGCCTCTGTGATAGAGCCCATCAGTTAGATGCGTGCCATTCATTTACATCTATGAACATCGAAGATCGCAAAGCCTTCATCAAAAGGAAAGGACTTTGCTTTGGATGTCTACAGCGGGGACATATATCAAGACACTGTAGGAAAATACTTCGCTGTAGAACATGCTCAAAGTCTCACCCAACTTCATTGCATGGTGACATCAACGCTGTGAAGAAACCAACCACAAGTTCTGCCAGGGAACAGTGAAATTGCATGGAATGATCTCGAACTATTAAGGCGTGCTAATCATATTAGGTACCTATTGTTCGCTATTGTTCTTGTCTAATTGCCCCTGCTGCGTCCTAGTTCTTTGTGCCCTAACGCGCGGTACCGACAGTCAAGAGAAAAGGATGAAAATATCCCCACCAACGTCAGAAAATTTCTGTTAGACTTCAAACCAGTCGCTTTTTTAAAAACTATTTTTAGTTTTTTCACAAATATACAGCAATTTAATACATAACGACTGGTTTAAAAGCACTTTAGATATGTTTTAGAAGCGTTTAATTCCTGTCAAACTCCATAGTGAGATTTAACTAAGCAAGCAGTTATAAGTCATTTTTTGGTATGTATGTTTGCTGCCATTGTGCCAAGTTACTTACTTTTCTAGACTATCAAAAGCTATTATGTATTAAAAGATTGATATTTAACTACAAATGCCCTAAGTCTCTTGAGCGAGCAACTGTGGCTATCAGAGATATTCGCCCAATACTGAACCTATATTTTGCGTCGGACTCGCGCAAAATCCGGTGATCGTCGGTAAACCCGGAAGTAAAGCTAGGCCTAGCTATCTGTCGTCATTCCTAACTGCATACTGAGCCTGGCGGCGTACATTTTTAATGTTAAAACGTCAATAATTTAATTAATATTTTATGATTATTATATATTAAGCCTAAGCCCTTATCTTTGTTGTTTGTTTTATTTGTCACCTGTCTGTATTCTTTTTATTTATTTTTTGTTGTGATAGCAATTTAGTGATGATGCATACAGTTGAAATTGAGCCCAAATAACTTCTATATGTTTTTAATTTATATAAATCACCTACGGCTAAATTTGTATTTATTTTTTCTTTTTCAGGTTCAAGTCAGAAAATGAAGACCAGTGAATTTGCTAAGGAAGCTGAAAATGGGCGGAGATGAAAGAGTGAGAAGTTGACTCTACAGCTCATCATTTTTACTCCATTGCGCTGCTTTCTCGCCACCTTCTCAATCAAAATAAGATTAGATGTAATTTATAATAAATAGTAATGATTTTCAACCTTTTCAACCCAGGCTGTCATGTTTTATCATTTCCACTGCAAAGTTATGTTTTCTTGCTTAATCCAAATTAGCTTTTCTTTAATTTTTTTGTTTATTTAATCCACTTGTGAAACCAGTACTGCGTCACTGAAAGTGCTATTAATAATAAGACAGAATTATAAATAAATATAACTGGTTTAGAAAATATAATTTATAATAGGATTGTTATTGCAATTAGATACAATGTAACGGTAATTAGATAAGATGTACAGGTAATTTTATTTAAAAAAACCAAACAGGCAACATCCAATGAATATTGTAGAATAACTTTCATTTTATATAACTCTTTTCCTTGCATTTCATTCATGTTTGGTGTTCTAAAAGGTGTATTATTTTTTATTTAACACAAAGGGTTGTGCCCAATTTTTCTTTTTAGAGGTACATTACTAATGGTGTACCGCAAGCATTTATTTTTCCCCTGTTAATTGTTACATCATAAATTCAATAAATAACAATAAAATAGCGTAGAGGAGAGGAGTACAATACTACAGCAACATAAACTACCACTTCCCTGCATAAAAACACCATCCCACATACTGTACTGTCACAAGTATGTTTAACAGTGAACACAGGCATAAAGGGCCTAAAATAATTTTATTTTTTTAAATAATATTTTGGATACACTTGATTATCAGTTCTAGCGAGTTTTATCTGCCGACTGTATTACGATAACCGCAGCGAGGTGCGCAACTCTAGACTAAACGGAAAAAGCATTCGCAACAAACGTCCATGCTAGGTCGCCTGTAAGGCCCAGAGCCTCCTACAGTAGGGCCTACTATGCAATATAGGGCTAGGCTACCTGATCGTGACTGCTGACAGGCGTACACGTTTACGTTCACCGTCTTTGTACAGTATTATATCTAGGCCCAAATCCATGTCAAACTGTAGATTTGCTGTTTGATTAGTATTTTAAAATAGAATATAGACCGTTCGCCATCGAGCATTTTGCATAATATTAAACAATCCTCGCAATGTAGGCCTAGGCCTAGTCCACATTTAATTGTTTCTGTATAGCTTAGGTGGTGTAATTAACTGTTCCCTGAAAATCATGGTATGACACGACGTCGATCATAACGAGAACACGATAGCGAGCATGCGCAAAGTAATTGTAATTAGTTGCAAATTGTTTATCAGTTGATTATGATAAGAACGGCGGTACCGCGGGTTATAACCTTTGATGTTCGGTTCGAGAGGTTTCCATGTAATTTCACTGTTCCCTGGTTCTGCTAACGTCACTGAAATTTCACAGGCACAACAAAGACTAATGGATACTCGGGTAAGCCTTCTCAGTGGCACGAAAGAAGGTGGAAAAAGCTCTATGACGGTACCGGTATGGGTTTCACACCAACATAATCCAGGAACTAAAATACTTGTGGATAAAATATGACACCACCTTTATCCTAGAAAACATTTGTGCTGCACTCGGAATCGAAGGACCTGAGATAAAACTACAACTCTCAACTATGTTTGCCAAGGACCAGTTACTGACTAGTCACAACATCAGTGGACTAATGGTAAGGGGCTTTGATAGGGATTGTAAAATTAATCTTCCTGAAGCATTCTCACGTCCAACTTATGCCAGCCAACCGTTCTCACATCCCAACACCGGACATGGCACGAAAGTGGCCACATCTAGAGAAAATAGCAAATTCATTGATGCCCCTAGCGGATTGTGAGATAGGCCTCCTCATAGGTTACAATTGCTCACAGGCACTAGCCCTACGTTGAGTCATTCCTCATTTAGAGAATGGGCCTTATGTCCAGAGAACCGACCTTGGCTGGGGAATTGTGGGAATGATAGATGCTGGAAGATTTGAAGAAGAATCATCTGATGTAATCAGAGTAAGCCAACACACGATAACCATTAGACCCCCAGGTCAACCAACGTTCAGCTGTCATTACAAACACGTGGAAATGAAGTAATAAATCCCTTCCATTTTTTGCAAAATGATGGAAATAGACTTCTCTGAGCTAGCAATCGATGATAGGGTACTGTAAATGGAGGATACCCAATTCCTAGCCACCATGGAAAGAGAAATTCTTCAATGCTCCGATGGTCATTTCAGTATGCCACTGACATTTAAAGGCAACACACTGTCAAAGCTACCAAACAATCTGTCACCTGCACTAGGGCGGCTGAGGAAGCTGTGAGGCCGTTATATGGAAGATGAGAAGTATAGAGAAGATTATTTCAAATTTATGTCGAATGTGATTGAAGCTGGTCATGCTGAGCCGGTTTCGGAATCCAATGCTGATGAAACTGAGAATATCTGTTATATACCACACCATGGCATATACCATGCAAAGAAACCAGATAAACTAAGAGTTGTATTTTATTGTAGTGCTAGATATCAGGGTAACTCACTTAACGACCACTCTTACAAGGCCCAGACCTTACTCATAACCTCGCAGGTGTTCTACTTCGCTTCAGAATGGATTATGTCACAATCACATGCGACATTGAGACGATGTTCCATCAGTTTAGAGTGGAAGAGAATCGGGAATTCTTGAGGTTTATATGGTGAATGGTGACCCTGTAGACTACCATATGACTGCATATATTTGGTGCAGTATTATCACCTGGGTGTGCCAATTTTGGACTTCAGAAAATTGCTGATACCTTTGAGTCAGAAATGGGACACGCTGCAGCGAACTATGTTCGACGTAATTTTTATGTTGACGATGGACTAACGTCTGTAGCCACAGTCGTAGAAGCTGTAAAATTAATCAAACAGGCAACAGCACCATGCGCAAGAGGCGGACTTCGGCTGCACAAGTTTGCATCCAATTCTAGAGACGTGCTTGACAGTGTATCACAAGATCGTGCTAAAGGCTCAACCAACTTGAACTTGAGTCGTGACACCCTGCCCATGAAAGGGCGCTGGGCGTCCAGTGGTGTATCGAATCGGACACCTTTCAATTTTGCATAATCATGAAGGATCAGCCATTGACAAGAAGAGGATCAGCCATTGACAAGAAGAGTAGTTTTCTCAACCATCTGTTCCGTATATGACCCAATCGGATTCGTCGCCCCGACCATTCTTGTGGGAAAGCAGATTCTCCAGAAATTATGCCGAGACAGGCGGAATGGGATGATCCTCTTCCCGACTCAATATGAGCTCAATGGGAACAATGGAAACGCGACCTACACCTCTTGGAAAAATTTAAAGCTCGCCGATGCTATAAGCCAGATAACTTTGGGCAAGTAAAGTCGGGTGAAATTCATCCTTTCTCGGATGCTAGCACAGTTGGATATGTTCAATGCTCATATTTTCGCCTAATCGATGAAGATGATAGAATTCACTGCTCCTTCATCATTGGAAACAAACAAGTAACAGTTCTACGCCTGGAACTAAATGTTGCGGTGGTAACTGTGAAAATTAGTGCACTCCTTCAAAGAGAATTAGAATTAAAAAATGTCACCGAGACCTTCTGGACCGACAGTAATGTCGTACTCGGGTACATAGCAAACGAGACACGTAGGTTTCATGTGTTCGTAGCTAATAGGATTCAGAAGATTAGAGACCATTCTTCACCCAGTCAGTGGAAACACGTAGCAACCAACGTGAACCCAGCAGACTGTGGTTTACGAGGAATTAGCGCTGAGGATCTTGTGAGCAAATCTACATGGATAGATGGGCCTAGGTTCCTGTGGGAAAATAGACAAAGCCACGATACCAGTATTGTCGCCGAATGATCCAGAATCGTCCAGGTATTTGCATTGCAAGCCTCTGAACGTAAATTCGAACTCAAACGATTAGAGCACATGTGTGATTTGTATCGTGCCAAAAGGGCGGTAGCTGCCTGCCTTAAACTGAATTCGAGACTTCTTGCTGCTATAAAGATTGTTCAACAGTTGCCAGTTAAGTCGCTACAAGAAGGATCCACCCCCTTATACAAAGCCATAAAAGTTGCTGACCTCGAGGCAGCCGTGAAGAAGATTATATTACAGGTTCAAGGCGAGGTTTTCGCGGATGAAACAAAGGGAATCAATGATGGCGATGCCAACCAAGAAAAGGCAAGAAAGCGTAATGAATTCATGAAGCAGACTAGTTGCCTGTATAAGCTTGATCCATTTGTGGATGCTGATGGCATCATACGTGTAGGAGGACGAATTAAGAGAAGATTGTTTCCTTACAACTTTAAACACCCAGTAATACTTCCAAGAAAACATCACATAACCGACTTAATTATCCGCTACTGCCATAACCAGGTAGCACATCAAGGCCGAGGAATGACCATAAACCACAATAAGAGCCTCAGGGTTTTGGGTGATATGATGTACTTCTGCTGTTTCTCGACTTAAATACAAATGCGTGACTTGCAGAAAGCTATATGGAGTCCAGGAGCAGCAGATGGCAGACCAGCCTGCGGATAGAATGCAACCAACGCCACCATTCACTTACTGTGGTGTTGACCTATTTGGCCTGTGGTTCATTAAGTAAGGGCGGAGCGAAAAAAATGATACGGTGTGTTATTCACCTGCATGGCGACGCGCGCTATCCATATAGAGACTGCAGTCTCATTGAGCACCGACTCATTCATCAACGCTCTTCGGAGATTCATTTCAATTCGTAGCCCAATCCGTCTCCTAAAGTCGGATAGAGGAACAAATCTGGTCGGAACCCATACTAAGCTAGACGAAGCAATGAAAAAGATGAATGTAAACCAGGTTTCGAAGTTCCTGATCGAAAAAAGTTGTGATAGCTTTGAATTCAAGACGAACTCCCCTTGCGCTAGCCACGCAGGGGGAGTGGGAACGCCAGATACGCTCTGTGCGTAGGGTTATGGCTTCACTGATAGACCGAGTACACTCTCAATTAACTGACGAGTCTTTCCGTACCCTGATGCATGAAGTAGCAGCTATAGTGAATGGTCGGCCACTAACAGTTGACAATTTAAATGATCCAGCATCATTAGAACCACTGATCCCCAACCATCTATTGACACTCAAATCAAGTTGTGTTATTACCCCCTGGTGTATTCAAGTCAGTTGATGTTTATTCTAAAAGACAGTGGCGTCGTGTTCTACATTTTGCTAATGAATTTTGGATTCGTTAGAGAAAAGAGTTCCTGCAGAACTTGCAGGTGCGACAAAAATGGATGCGTTCATCTCAAGAAAATAAAATAGGCGATATGGTGATTATTAAGGATGATAACCTCCAGCGAAATCAATGGAAAGTTGCCCGAGTCGAGGAAGTGTTCCAAAGTGAGGACAAGCATGTTCGAAATGTTAAGTTGCTCACCGGTGATCCATGCTTGGATGCTAAAGGAAAGAGACTGTCTCCAAAAAGGTTTATGGAAAGACCAGTTCAAAAGTTGGTTTGGCTGACCACTGACGTCGAAATCAGGGATATCCCCGTCAACGAGCCTTAATCAAACTAATTCATACAAATTAAGCTGTGAATCTCATTTAACTATAAAAAGGTTTATTGTTTAACTATATGAGTATTATGCTTAGTTGTATTATGTATTACAATGCTTGATCATGTTCTTTTGCAGTTTTTAAGTTGAAAAAAATTGAAAAAATTAAAAATACAGGAACGTTTGACGTAATTGACAGTGATGTAGTTATGCTGCACTACCATTGAATTTAGGGAGCCATGTAAATGTAGTGTGATCAGAGTTAGCGCCCTCTATAACTGTTTAGGTCAAAGTGCGTATCGAGGGGGAATCGACAACAGCTCAGGAGGACGAGCAATTTGTTTGACATAGGTGTAGGCCTATTGTAATAGTTTGTTAGTTTTTCGAGACAAAGAATTCATGGATGCAAAGAGATATATATCATAACTTAGATTATCGTTTTTTAATAATAGAAACATATATAAGTCGTCAGTTCGTTAGCTACACATTTCATAATAGTTTTAAACTGTTTCTTATTCATTGAAGTTTTCATGTAACCAACAATAACCATTGCAAACTCTATGCCTTATTCATGTATTGTAACCTGCGGTTATTGATTGATATTAAAACGAGGTTTCAGTAGAGACCCTTGCATCTAGTTATCCGAGTCTCCGAGAGTTTCATTAACTTTACACTGTGTATCAGAATGGCTCCCTTGGTAGTGCATCTACATCACATAGTAATTATTTTAGATGACTACTGAAAAAATGCCTGTTGTACTCAGTGGATATGTTACCATATATTTTCATAAACGGATTTGTCTTCAGATTACGTTGTCGATAGAATAATCTACAATCGACGCAACGGTTAGCTAATAATATTTCTAATTAATAAAACGAACCGTAACACGTATTATCGATGCACAAATTTTAATATATCTATCAATCAATCATCGACAACAACTTGTATATTTCAAAAAATAACAATGCAAGATCGAAGAAGTGAATATTGAAAGAATAGTAAGGGTGTATTCATAAATTATATATATATATATATATATATATATATATATATGTATATATGTATGTATTTAATTATTGTATTT